AAAGAGGTTCCCCCCCGAAAAAAAAGCGAGCTTCCAGCAACAGGGCCTGTTTTTAGTTGTATTCAAAGGGAAACCAAATTGAGCAGAAGGACATGCCTCAAAAGGGCGTTGAGGGCTCCATTGTGATGATCGCGAAATTTGGGCGCATCGCAGTGTTTGGTTCCTTTAAGTTTGCTATTTGTTGCAATTCACCCAGATGGCTACGGTTCCTCAACAGCTTGGGGATAACAAAAGGGCGCCGCGTGGTTTCTTTGGTCGGAATTCACCGAAGGCCACAATTTAATCTGTCACTCGCTGAAGGTGCCCTTCTTGGGCGATTTCTTCTTTGCGCATGACACCCAGAACGGTCTTTGCCCCCCCCCCCCCCAAACTAGGTGTGCGGTTTCCGCGGCAAGACACACCAAAGGCAAAGCAACAACAGCTCTTCTCCCTGTTTTCTCGCCCATGTTTGCCGAACTTTGTTGGCAATGCAACCATTTGAGCTAACTTATGACATTGCAGCCATGTGACATAATGGAAGGGCCGAAATAGATACACACACACATATGATTCCCCCAAAAAGCGTCAATTTGGCTTTCAAGCGCACCCCGTTCCAAAGATTCAGGCCCCATGCAAATTGTGTTGATCATATTGATTGAACAAGGGACTTCCAAGCAGCATCCCGAAACAAAAAGGGAGAAACCAAACATCCCCAAACATGTACCTCTTAAAACAGATTTTGTTTGAGGGGACCCAAATTTGGGGTCGGGTTTAAGCGGGAGCTAACTGTAAAGCAACCATTTTGGGGTTCCCCCCTTTAGGAACCGCGACTTTTATCTCGAGCTCACCTTGGGATCTGATTCTTGCTTCAGCTTTTGGAATTTTTGGCTCACCAAAATGCAGCTCGATGTTTTTTGTTGGGGAGTTTGGTTCCAGGCACCGCGGGAAGCGGCTCAGGTGCTCCCGCACGAGGTGGGCGCGGGGTGGCTTCTCCGTGAGCAAGGCGCGCGGTTCGGGTCGGGCCCCTGGGCTTAGATTTTGGGAAGAAAACTCGGGGCTTGGGGGTCCATGAGACATCCCATTCTGAGGTTTTGGTTTGGTTGAAAGCAGATGGATTCCACGGGTTGGAGTTTGGTTCATTTGTGATCTACCGGTGGGATCCAGGTCTTTTCCTTTCAGTTGGGGTTTGGTCTGAAGTCTTAGAGGTGGGAATGGGATGGGTGCTGCTTGTTTCTGTTGTGTTGTTGGTTTTCCGCCAAAGATGGACAAACATGAAGAAGATCTCAGCTCTTTTTTCTCATGGCAGGGTAGAACAGCTTTTCTCATGGGTGGCCATTTTTTTGCAGGGTACCGCATGTTCGCATGTTTGGTGGTACAGGGAAATGGTACCCTTTGCTGAATCGGGCACCTGGCATTACTCAAGCGAACGCGTGGTCCATGTTTTCGGGGTTCCCCCATTTGGAGTGGGGATCCTTCACCCCAACAGCTGTGCAAGCTACCGGGAAAACGGGGCGGGTAGCCTATTTGGGGGATGATTTGAAGAAGCCAATCTGGCCCAAAGCTGGGAACAACTCTGAGTTTGACCAGCCAGTCCCCAACCCCCACAGGTTCCTCTTGAAAAGGGCAACCCAACCGTCCACCATTGCAACCCGTCAATCTGATCGACTTCAAAATGACCCAGTGTGTGTTCCCCTGCTGAAAGGGGTCCCAAACCAAAGGGATGCCCAAGCCAAGCCCACAAATCTGGTTCTGGAAAAGAACGCGCAGCTAGCTTCCACAAACCTCCGAAGGAACCCATGGTTGAACACATGGCTGGCCTTTGGTGTTGCCGAATCGCCCCTCGCCTGTTGGATCAAGTGGCCTCGTCCGTTCGACCTTTGGCTCGTTCAGGGAGCTTGAGGCACCCCGGAAGCCGGGGGCTTGAAAGGCTCAACCCCACCCACCCCAGCCTCAAACCCACCCGGAGAAGAAAAAACAAAAACTAAAAGAACAGCACCTGGTCCAAAGCTGGTGGTCCACCAAACGGAACGGCCCACTCCCCCCCTCCTCTTGGCGCCGCGCCCAAACGAGCGCGAGCGCTTTCGCGCGCGCGCGCGCGTGGGGCGAGGCTGGCAGCTGGACCGCGAGGTCTCGGTGTGGCTGGCGCCGCCCAAGGCGCCCAGGCAGATGTACCTGGCCTCGAGGAGCGGTGAGCGGTGGGGTCGGTCACCGGGGCGGCTGGGCGGCGGCTTGGAGTCCGAGGAAGGTGGAGCCGGATTTGCTTGTTTTTTTTCAGGCGGAGAGTTTTTGGAGGGGTTGGCTTCCTGGAAAACAGGTATATTGGGTAATTACTCCCTTTGGTTGGTTGGGTTGGGTTGGGTTGGTTGTTTGGGTTGGTTGGTCTGCTTTAAAAAATATATCCACGGCGACTTAGCGCCATGGGCAATGGTAACCCGAATGATGTATCAGACGCCCAGACACCAAGGGCTCCGAATCCGATCCCCCGAAACCCGCACCCAGGAGCAGTAAACCGACCATCCGAAGGTCTGGAAGGGTGCGGGAAGGCTCGAATTGACGCATGTTTCATGAAGGCCTGCGTTCTAGGACGCGTAATCTAACTTTTGTTTGGGTGCTCTGGGAACAAACGCATCAAATCATCTGTGACGCAAAGCAAGATCAGCGCAACGAGTACCTCGGAGAGTAGCTGGCAGGCCTATTTTGTTTGCCTAACAGGCACCACAAGCTTCCAGCGTGTCAGCCTTGCAGGGGCTACATCCCCTGCGCCAACATTTCACGTTCTCGCGCACATCTGAAAATTCGAAGCGCTCAGCCTTGCATCACCTCTATCTTGCCTTCAAATTATCTCGCAACGCACTGCAAGCCGTTAAAAGCATGGAAGCCAAGAAAGCCACGCAAGCAAAGACCCCGTTCGGCGCGGCATACTCCTTCGCCAGTGGTATCGTTTTCAGGATAAAGCATCGCATTCAAGAGCTGACCATGCCCTTGCTCAAACCACGTTCACCAGGAATGTGCTGTGGCCCGCCTTCAAATGATAGCAGATTCCCCGTGTGGCGCGCCTTCGTTGAGGTCTTAATTTTGTTTTGGGGTTGTTCAAGAGGTACCAGCAATGACAGGGAACACCACAACAAACAACGTCTCCACCAAATGTCAGGTTTTTCGGAAACCATCCAACTGGTCCAGAAACACGGCCGCCGAGCCGCCCGGCTCCAAAACCCAGGTGCGAAGATTTGCCAGGCGTTTCTGGCGGTTTCCGAGGATCCTGACTGCGGAGGGCCAACCAAAAGGACATCACCGTTTTTTGTCCCCTCATTTTGAGACAAACCCAAAGAACTTCCTAGATAGCCAAGTTGCGATCGCTTTTTTCATTCACTGTTGCCGGTTTTGGAAAGTGGATGGAAAAAGGTGAAAAAAGAAGCGCCTGGATCGATCCAGGTTCTCCACGAAGTGCAGCCTGGGGGCGGGGGCGCGCCGTTTGTCTCAATCCATCCGCGCCAGGAGCGGGCATCAGCGCTTGGCGGGCACCTATTCCTTGCTCGAAGGCGCGATGGCGCTGTGCGGAGACCTTTTTGTCCCGAAACGGCCGTGGTCTTTGGGTTTGAGCCACGTGCCCAAAACCCTTTGGGATTGATGTTTAGGTTAGTAAGGACAACCCCCTTGCCATATACATAGCCGTTCGCCGCCTTCTTCATTCTTGACATGGTTCTGGGATTACGACCATTTTGAAGTTTCGGGTTTTGATTATGACTCGTTTGGTGTTCCTTGAGCTAGACTGAAGAAAGCCAACTCAAGGGTCAGCCCGAAAGAAACACGGACCCAAACGGGCTTCTTGGGTCCGAATGTTCAACCAGGACCCTGGTCCCCTTCTAAAACAAATGGGGGAATGGGGGAAGCAGGTGGGGGTGGGGGGAAGCTCCTCCCCCCCTTCGCCTCTCCTCCCCTTCCCTCCATTCCTTCTTTGTGTCCAAAACGGGTCAACCTCCAAACGGGAGCAGCGGATCGCCAGGTCAAAGCGCCCACAACCTGCCCATCTGGAAGCGCGAGGGCGGCGCCGGCGAGGCCCTCTACCTCTACGGCGGCAGCGACGGCCGTTGGCATGCGCGAGCCTTGGGGTGCTGAGCGTCGTTCTCTTCGGGCCCCGCTTGGGGTATGCCCAAACAAGGGGTGGCCATATTTTTGACACCACCCCCACCCCCCGATCTTTGCGTCTGAAGAATTGTTATGGCAACCCCCGCCCCCCACAAAAGAAGCGTGAACTTGGTTTGTCCAAATCAGGCTCTCCTTTCGGTATTCCCTTGCGGCTCTTGCAGCGGCAGTAGGGTTAAAACGCAACAGAGAGCCGCCCATGTGCTGGACACCTTGCACATTTCTCGGGTCCTTCCCCCCGAATTCCACCGCCACCGGAAAAGGAGCCGAACAAGACACGCCACGGCGCCAGGGACGCGCCCAAACCGGGCCCCGGGGAATGGGGTTGAAGGGTGAGCGGATGTGACCCCAGCCCAGGCATCTTCCTTTGTTCGACGTTTGTTTTTTGTTTCTCTCTGGAAAGGGCTCCCTTTTGAACCAACTACCCCAAAAGTGCGGCCACTCCTTGCTTCTCATGGACATCCACTAAACAATGGACACGTTTGTTTTTTTGTTGAAGAGCGTGGATCGCAGGATGAGCCCGCCATGCAGATCAAAGCACGCACGACTTGAGACAGAGCTGGCGTTGGCATCTCTCAGCAACAGGTGGCATGACTTTGGCAAAGGTCAGCCTGTCCGGCTCGGCCTCTTCTTCGATCCAGCTTCTCGAGCCCTGCGGGGGTGCAAAAGGACCTTTGGTTGATTCAGGTATATCCGGCCAAACCAGTCAGCTTGGATCCAAGACTTTCAGAAGAACCCGGGTTCCAGTTGTTCAGCTTGGCCACGGGGCTTTGCCCAGCTTTACCCTTGTGTGAATGGTTCTCAGTTAGCTGGGCGCTTTGGCCCACATCTGTGGGGTGTTTCCTGGGTATGGATCTCACTCGTTTCACTCGCGCTCGGTGACTCAGGTCGGGGACAGCCAGGCAGGGTGTTTTTTTGGGTCGGATCGGTCTGGGTGGAAGGGGAGCCATCCATGTCGCTCTCCATGGGCTATGGATTGTTTTGGACCTAGGGACATTCGGGGAAGCACGACGGGATGGCGATCAGTTGCAGAAACAGGAACAGGACTCGCAGCTGAAAACTGGGGGAAGTTCAGGGGATCACCCAATTTTTCCCTTATGAAAGAACTCTTTTCCTGGAAACCCGAGCCTCAAGCTGACCGCCAAGGGAAGGCGTGCTCGTTTTTTCCAGAGTGGACAGGTGCTCGATGGTCTCGCTGGATCTTCTGAAAACCGGACCCCACATTGTTGCCACAATCAAAACCCGGGTAGATGAAGGTTAGGGGCAGTCCCAGCCAGAAATAGTTGCCGCCTTTCTAATTCTTTACATGGTTCTGGGTTCGCCATTTTTGTACCAACCCACCCATATACCAACCCCCCAGCTCTCTGAGTCTTAACCCCGCCCAACGCCTGTTCAAAACCGAAGCCTAAACCTACCGCAACCGTTCCCCAAATCCACCTTACACCAAGCCTCCATCCACCCAAGCCATGCTGCGCTGGAAGGTGTGGTTGACTTTGAACCTGCCCCCTCCCACCCAAACCCCAACCCAACCGACCCAAAACACCCTCAATCCACCTCAAACTCACCCTCAGCCAACCCTGCACCCTGAAGCCAAGCCAAAACCCAACCACCCTGACCAAGACCTATACCCAGCCCTAAACCCTGCCAAGCCCGCCCCAAACCCAAACCCACCCCAACCCAATCCAAGCCACCCAAAACCCAGCCTCACCAAACCCTAAACTCACACTAAATCCACGCACCCGAAACCCACCCTAAACCCATCCTAACCCTGCTTTTATGTTATCCTGACCCAACCTGGCTGTGGTTCAAAACCAATGGTACCATTCTGGGGTAGGTGAATTCACCTCCCATTTTAGAACCAAGTTGTAGTGTTTGGATTGAATCGGATGTTCACTCGGGGTACGGTTTGGATTTTGGCCCACCACCACAACCCCCCCCATCGCCCGAGCCGTCCGCTCCATCCAGAGGCGGAGAAGCGGCACTTCGACACGGACCTGGGGCTTTTGCGCTCGCAGGCCCACGGCGCGGCCATGCCCGGCATGCTGCTCTGGGAGAGGCGGAGAGCTGGAGATGGGGAGTTGGGGGCTCCGGGCTCTGGGCTCCGTTTGGGGTTTCCGATTTGTTAAAATCCGTGATTTGGTTTCGACACCTGGTCAAATTTGTACCTTTTCCCCAAGACTGGTTTTGAGCATCACCGTTTTGAGACTGGTTTGCTGTTGGTGGGGTGGGTTTTAAAGGCACATGTACATGACCCCGTTGTTCTTGGAGCAATCCCGAAATAAATCCGCAGCCCAAATAGAAGAGAGGGTGTTTTTTTGGGGTCCGGGTTTTATGGGGGGCCCTTTCGTGGACACGTGGATGCCAACCGCTGCCAGTTTTGAGGGAGTTCTTGGGAAGTCTTTTGTCTTTGTCCACACTCCCTTCACTCCCTTTGCCTCCCTGCCTGCGCCAGCCGCAACCTTGGCTTTCGTCTACTTGAGGTGCTTCGAACATTTTGAAGCTAGTTTTAGCGGGCAGCGGTTCTGTTTTTGTTCTTCTTTCTTCTCCTTGTTTTCAGGGGGATGGACAGAACTTTCGACCAGGCGATGTGAGGATGGCTTCTTGGCGGACCCAGCGGTGACCTTGACGCGCCCGCCGGAGTACCCGCAGGCAGTTGGAAAGACGTCGTGTAGTTCCCACAAATTTTCGGGCAGTTCCCAGTATTCGCAGTGCGTCTTGGCATGATTGGCTTTGAGTTTGTCACACACCGCCTTGCCCCAGCAAAAGAACAGGTCAGCTACCCTTGTCTCGCACTGTGCAAACTTGAGACGGTCCCAGTGCTGCACGGAGCCTGTTTGATTGCTGGAATAGCCAACGACTGCGCGTCAGAACTAGGGCCCTATGTGAAACCATCAGGTTACCAACCAGTCATTTTCCTCTTCTTGGAGGTGCTGACGTAGCACGCCAACTGGAAGACATCCCCCAAGTAACTTCCACTTTCAGAAGAGAATCGCGCCTGGATGGGATGAGCAAGGCACCCGTGCGCAATGTAGCTTTCGGATGGCAGATGACGCCATGTGCCCCGCAAGGAGAACAACAAAGAGCTGAATGTGTGTCAAATCAAACTTTACCCCAAAATGGCCTTCGATTTCCCTTGGATTTCCAAATTTTGAAACCACCCGAAACAAGCGGGTGGATTGACTCTAGCAATCCCATCAGGAGATCTCCATCCTGAGCCCCTCCAAGCAGCAGCCACGTGGCCGATGGGGAGTTGGGATTGGGATTGGGAGTCGGTGCCTTTTTCAATTGGTTTGATGTGAGGGAAACCTTAGCTGGGTCCCCCAGCTAGGTGCCCTTCTCTCCCCTTTTTTTGGTTGGGAGGGGGAACCCCCTATAAAAATAGGCGATTCAGAAAAAAGTTGGTACCCTTATTCTAACCTCTCTACTGGAGGACCTTTGTTATATAATTTTACTTGGAGGGTGCCCAAATATTGTTTGACACACACACACACACCTTTCAAGCCAGGTTATTATGTAGCCGTTACAAGGGAGCGGGGAGGGAAGCCCTGTTACCCCACTGACCGTAGTACCCCACTGACCGTGATGCAATCGACCCTCGAGATGTCGACTTTTGAAGCTCGGATTCGCTTTGGATTGGGTTGGTTGCAGTCTTGCGAGACGCTGTCTCGCAATTTGGTTGTTCCTTTTTCGTAGGGAACCACCTCACAAGTTGTTGGACATGAGTCCCAAACCCAATTCTGATGTCCAAAGGGTTCAACCACTTAACAATCAGAGGCCATGTCTGATCTTGCAGTGTTGGAGCGTCAAGCGATTCGAGGGGAAAACATGAAAAACACAGTGCACGGCCGTTTCGGCTGTTTGGTCAGGCCAGGGTGTTCAAAGGAACATTACATTATTGAAATAAGCAGATCTTTCAAGGGAATATTTCAAGGGAATGTTTTTTTTCAGTGTCCCCTACTCGATCTTCTCAGAACTCAAGCTGAGATTCCAACTTGCAGACATCCACTCGTGACACTTGGAGCTCCCAGTTGTGAACACGGAGACATCAACAGGGTGGTGCCTGATTTGAGGATCCTCCGCCCCGGGTATTGACTATGACTCAACTGGAGCTTAGGGGGTACCTTCCCTTCCCATTCAATTTCAAACAAGCTATAAGGTAAGTTTTGGTTGCTTGCTTCGTCGGACCAAAAAAGCGTGATTTCCCCCCCCCCCCCCCAGCCGGCCGGGAAAAAAACGAACAGGCGGACCAAAGGAAAGACGTTTCTTTGTCGGAAACACATCAAGAACAGATGGACCACGAAAAATAAAAATATTGTGTCTTGTGTTTCTCTTTCTTTTTTTGTCTGGTGGAGGGACCCACGAGAAACCCCGGGCCGTGAAAACCGCTTTTTTTCCTTTTGTCTGGAGGAAGGTCTCGGGGCAGTACCTGCTGACGGACGGTTGGGCCAACGGCCAGCGGCTCTGGAAGCGCCTGGGCCACGGGGAGGAGCTCTGGCTCTACTCGGGCCACTCCGGGCCGCTCGGACCCGTCGACCGCGAAGCGAGCCAAAATCCAAGCCATCGGGGGGTTCTTGGGGGGGGGGGAGGGTGAAGGGAAGTGGGGGGTGTTCTTTTTTGTTGTGTGTGTGTGTGTGTATTTTTTGGGGTGTACTTCGATTTTTGCAGACCCCGTTTTTGTTTGTTGTTGGCATGGTTTGATGGATATAAGGGCCTATCGCAAAAAAAGGAAATGGGGCGGAAAGGGGGTAGGATTAAAGCCACATTTGGGCATGGGTTGCAAGGGGAAACGGTGAATAAGTAAGCGGCTAATATCAAGCAATTTATCCTTTTGGCCCTTATGGTTCTGCCTCAGTTTCCCTTTCAACCAGCCAGCGGTCCAACTGTCTACCTTCCCAAGTGGGAACCGCCAGAAACTCGACCAACCTCAAGGGGCGCGGGGCCTGGGGCTTGGAGAGTTCCTGTTGACCCCAAGAAAGGCAACCCTCGTGCAAGCCAAGGCAAAAACAACACCCGCCTAGAGGGAAGCTAAACCATGGGCTGGCTACAGATCATTTTTTGGAAGGCACCCCGGCACCCCTTTTGGTTGGTTTTGAAGGGACACCAAAAGGAACAACCACTTGAGGTCCCTATTTTGAGACAAACCCCGTAGTTTCGCGCCCATGTGCTCGTTTTTTTTCTCCATTTCCGTGCCGAGGCACTGGCAGGTCGGTGGGGTCAAGGCCGGGCTGAGCGACGGATCGGGCTCCTTCGGAAAGCCGGCTTCAGTATTTACAGGGGAAAGCAAACGGAGACTGGCCGTTTGAGGGGAAGTTCTGTTTGGAAAAACAAGCTAACCACCGTTTTGAGGGGTCCCGCAAAAAAGAGAGACCCAGTTTGAGGGCACGTTCTGTGTTGAGAAACAACCGCAGTGTCGGGCAAGTTCAGGGGCCGTCAGGTGCATGTGAAGCGATCCAATAGGACAAACAAATCTGAACAATCCTTCCTACGCACTTTGGCAAGCACCTTGGCAGAGCCGCCATGAAGGGAAATCCCCACTTGAGCAGCGTTCGCGATATATGTGGCCCACAGGACCACAGGGGTTTCTTAAAATTGTGGCTTCCCGACCAACAAAAGGTGGTCCGCCATTTTACCAGAGCCGAAGAATTGATCCCCACGCTGCGCCCTTTCGAGCACAACAAGTCACAGCATCCCAGGTGGGCCCCTGGTTTTTGCTATTTGGTTGGTGTCGACCGTGGAAACTCTGTCCAAGACCCAAGGGAATGATTCGACTTATCTGTAAATATCAAGAAAGCCCAAGGGAGTGATTCGAGCCTAAGAATGGTGTCCAGTGTCAACCGTGGCAACTCCGCGGATTTGTGCGCCTTTGTCTCCAGCGAGTTGCCCCTCGCCTCGGGCGAAAAGAATCGGCCGACTCGGGGGAGTCAGCGAACATGCCCCCTGCACTGGGATCCAGGGGCCGCGTGTTGAAGGAGACAAAATACCAGAAAGGAGGCCCGGATTTTGGCAAGTGCCCAGTTGACTTGTTTGGGCCGAGACGTTGCAAGATGGTTCGGGGACCAAAACAGCTAATTCAGGCATGGTTTACCTTTGCACACTTAGGGGCTGCCCTTTTAAGCCAACTGCCAAAAAGGGGTGCCCCTTTTTTGCCATGGCAACTGTAATTCCGGGTTTGGGAGTCACAGCAGAGAAACCAGGTTGAAAAGGTTTTCCTTTTGGTTCCCCTTTGAGCACCGACCTGCAAAGTTTTCCAACTAAAAAACAGAAAAGCCAACCCACGGCCCTTTTTCCAGGGCCGTTGGTCATCGTGCCCGGCTCACTCGCTCGCTCGAGCCGTCGAGTCGCGTCTCGAGCGAGCTGGAGGCGGCTGAGAAAGGCTTCAACTGCAGCCTGGGGAACTTGTGCAGCGCCGAGCCTCATGGGGGCCTTCTGCCCTTCCAGGACACCGGAAAGAACCGGAAACGAAAAACGGACGTTGAAGCGGTCTTGCGGGGTGTTGGTCGGGTTTTTTGTTGCGGCACTAGAAAGCTTCCTGGGTTCAACCGGTCTTGCGGGTTTGGGTTGTTTTTTGTTGTTGCAGCATCAGAATTCTTCCTTTGCTTTCTCGAAAGAGGGGAGTCCAAGAAATGTACGTTTCCTTTTGGTTTCCCAGCGAACACCAACTATAAGAAGGGGCTCGCCAATTTGAGAAACGCCCAGGTTGCTCCGAAGATACTCTGCAGATCTCTCGGAGAGAGGCCTTTGACACAGTGACCCACTATTTCAACTTGAGAAAAGGCCTGCAAGGAATTCGCATTTAACTCATTCAGAATCAGACTTCCAATCAAATCAAGTAGAAGAAAGAAGCAGCTTGTCTTTCCTCACTAGGTTCCGTTTGAATTGAATCATAACTACCTCTAATTTCGAATTAGAGTTCTGCGTGGAAAGGGATTCCTAATTGAATCTCATTCAAAATAAGATGTCCAGAAAAGAGCTCCTATCTAAAGCTAATTCAACAGAACAATTGCACTTAGATTCCAATTGGAACCCTACTTGGAAAGGATTTCCTACTGGTATTCAAATCTAGTTCAACATAAGTTTCCAAGTGAACTCTAATTAATGTCCGACTTAAGGTTTTTTAGCCTTGCAATGTAGCACTTCTAATAGACCTGAAACGGCCAGTTTTCTCTGCATGTATCACCAGTGGATGGCCTGCTCCCGGAGGCCAGAAAAGGAAGGCGCCGGAATCCGGACAACGGAACGCAGCTCGAATAACCAGGGTGTTCCAGAAGGAGAAAACAAAGAACAATTACGGGGAATCCAGGAGAACACACTCACACATGTTGTTTTCTTCAGAAAATAAAGCCTGGGTCCTGCAGAAGAAGGGTAGCTGCTTCCAACATTTATAGGATCTGGTTTTTGGTGTTTCTGGTTCGTTTGGTTGCCGTGTTTCCTTCTTGTTTTTCTTCTTCTTCTTCTTCTTCTTTTTTTCTCCTGTATTTCTTAGCTTTTTCTGGTTTAGGGTGTTTCTGTTTTTTGGGAGGGGGGTGCCATACATATACATATATATATATATATAATGATAGGGGGGGCTTGCAGGTCCGGAACATATCATATATATATATATATGTATATACACATACGTACCTTGCTCTGCACCTTCCGCGCATCTGGTAGACAGGGTGGCTCGGCCACTTAGCCATCGCTTTCGCGGCCTCTGTCCTGTCGCCCTCCAGTCGGAGTCGCCGGTGAAGCGCCTCCCTTACACATTCCGCGGGTTCTGTTTGTTTCTATGCAGTCGGGCGGCACTGCCTCCAGCTCCAGTGGTCATGTTGCGGCCGCAGTCAGCGTGGCTTGGTAGCATGGCTCGCTTTGCTTGCACTTGACATCCCAGGCTGGGCTTGAGCGATGATAGTGACTCAGAAGGCGAAGCGGCAGAACTACCAGACCGCTGTCGACGCGGTTCGGTTCTGCCCGCGCCGTTTTTCGCGTTGCCTGTGTGCCGTTGTGCATTGCCGCTGAAACTAGGAGGAACCGCTTCCCACAGGGGACCGATCTTTTTTTGAGAAACACCTTCAACCTGCTGCTGCCTTGGTGGGTCATGGTGGGATATTCATATGGCCACTCCCTGTGAAAACTCCCTTTGAAGTGACTTCGACTCAGTATGCGGCTGGTGATCTTAATCTGGTACCACCAAGAGTTGGATGTGTCACCACGATCCTTTTCCACCCCTTCAAACCCACCTGAAAAATGATGATGCCCTCGAAACCACTCGCAGTTTTACCCGCACAGAAGTCCGGTCTTCGCCTGCTTCGGTGGGGGTTCGCCGAGCCTCCCCCGGGTCCCGGGAGGACGCCGGTGGCTGGCAAGCCAGGGACGCCTCCGGCTGGGAGCTCAGCGAG